ACCCTAAATCCTAAACACTAAACCTAGTCGAGAGACTTCTCTGCGTCAAAAAAAACCTTCCTGGGGAGGTTGAAGCTCTGCTGCAGCTCCCGGTGCACCCAGATGTTTTCAAGCGCCAATATCATCCGGACATCTTCGACGATCTGGAGGAGGTTTAGGGTTTAGAGTTTAGGGTTTTAGGGTTTAGGGATGAGCTAATGGCTTTGATTGCCTGCCGTTGTGGGTGGGGTATGCTTCATACCTAAGAGTTTATAACCTGCAGTGTCTTGGAGTTAGGGGCTCATACAGAGGTCCAAACACTGAGTAAGACTATCAGTCTACCCCCTAAACCCTAAACCCAAAAAGCCCATCGTCCGTGTACATAGATAGATGGTCAACCCTGAACACCCGAATCCAAATTTTTGAGGCCCCTACACTATACTAATATAGGGGCCTTAAAAATTAGAATAGGGTGTTGGAGTCCATTATACTATACTTATAATAAGGCACTCCCAAAATAGTATAGGTGATTTTTTAGGCCCTTACATTAAGCCCATTTGCTGACTCACTCAAGCTCTGGTATCTTACCTACACTAAGACCCTAAACGAAACCCTGTTACAGTAAGCGTTTCAGGCTCTTCAGGAGGAGGATAGCACTGCATTGATGCTGGCGGCAAGCTGCAATCACCCTGAGATCGTGAAGCTGCTGTTGGAGGTCCTGGAAAGATGTATAATATAGGGGGCCTTGTTATAGTTACAGTTGTAGTATAACCTATCCCCAAAGACCCTATTCTTATTATTAAGCCCTGTATATTAGGGCTTCAAGCGGTATAGTTCAGTGCTTGGGGGGTTAGGGAGGGTTTAGCGGTGCTTGCAGAGGTTCCTTCCTGGTGTGGGTTTAGGGTTTGGGGTTTGGGGTATAGAGTTTTGGGTTCAGGGGTTAGGGTTTTGGGTTTGAGGTAAAGGACACGTGGGTTTAGTGTTGCTTAGCAGGGTTTTATCGGATGTTGGGTTTAGGGTTTCCTGTACTTGGAGGATCATGGGACTTAGCGAAGCAAGAGCCACGGTTAAGGTTTAGGGTTTAGGGTTTAGGGTTTAGGGAGGTTCTGAGTCCTTTTGTAGGACATTTCAGGTGGGTAGTTGCCGTTAGAGGAGCCTTATAGAAGCTCTATGTACCTTGTAAAAGCCGTATAGAAGCCCTACATACCCTAAACTACCACCTGTAGTTTCTTCTAAGCTTTAGTTGGGGTTATAAGTATTTAGAAGTATACCTACCTTACTTTTGTAACCCTGGCTACTAAGTCCCACGATCCTTTAGGTAAGGCTGCTTATGAGAGATCCGAGGAGGCTTCTATAAGGCTACGGTTTGGGGGTTTAGGGGTTTAGGGTTTAGGGTTTAGGGGTTCGGGTTTTAGGGGTTTAGGGTTTTGGCGTTTAGGGCTCTGGGTTCCGGGGAGTGGTGTTGAGAATTTGTAGGCTTTGGGGTTTTTGTCGCTTTGGGATTTGGGGCACAGCGATTTCGGGAGGCCGGCGCTCAGGTGAACTTTGCCGATGAGTGCCTCCGCTTACGTAGGGGTTTTGGGCAGGGTTTGTTTAAGGTGGTTTAGGGTTTAGGGTTTTGGGTTGAAGTTTAAAGGTTGTAGGTTTTTCTTGTACTGTTCAACATGGGTTTCGTATACTGTCTTCTAGGTCTGGGAAAGTAGGCTCATGCCCTCTCCATTTTGGTGTCTTCTTGTCACATCTGCATCCGGGATGCAGTGGAACCGAGGTGTGGATGGACAGCACTGATGAATGCGACAATAAACGGTCACACTCAAGTGGTGCAGCTGCTTCTAGAGGCAGGTGCTCAGACGGATCCGGTGAACGACATGGGCCAAACTGCTATAGATCTGGCGATGGAGCATAGCAGAATCTTAGCTCTCCAATACGGACCTAACCTTTAAACTTCTTTTTTCTTCTAATTTAGTAGCAATCTGAAATTTTAACCTTCATTTCCCCGGCGTATTGGGGAAGTAAGAACCAATGTCGAAGTATGAAGGCCCTTATAAACCTAAGTTGTCACAATGCCCTTATTGGGGAAGTCAGGAATAATGCGCATGCAGCCCGCCGGTGAGGACCAGAATGAAGTCTGCCGATTACTTACGCAGGCCGAGGTCTTGGCGGCAGAGGGAAAAGATCCGCAATGTCGAAGCCTGACTATCTTAGGGGCCTTAATAATTTATGAGAATAGGGGTTTTGGTAAATATAAGCCTGACTATCTTAGGGACTTTAATAATCAATTAGAACTATAGGGTTTTGGGGAATATTCTACGATAAAATGTATTGAGGAACCGCCAAACTAGTATTGGTAATTATCTAAGCCCCTACATCAGTTACCAATGTTCTTCCTGAGGATTCCTAGTTATCTAGGACATTTCCAGGTGGGTAGTTACCGTTATAGGAGCCTTCTAGAAGGTCTGTATACCTTATAGAAGCCTTATAGAAGCCCTATATACCCTAAACTCCCCACCTGTAGTTTCCTTTGATGGTTATAATATGATATACTACCGCAACGTCTTGTGAGGAGAGTTTCTGTCGCGGGAAATTCCTTGAGTCTTGGTAGCTTCAATGCAGTGGATGTATGATGAAGACTCTATGAGAACCTTTATGGCTGTTGTGTTTCATAGCTTTAACTTATTAGGCATTTCTTACGCATCCTCAAACTTTGCGGGCGAAGTTTTGCCTGAACAGCAACTATACGCGCAGCTTACATGTTCGATGCTTCTACCTAGCTACCCCTACCTTCACATGCCACTATTAGTTTGTCCTAGGCATACAAGGATCCCAGAGTTCATGGTCCATACTACTGTTGATGATATAAATCCTGCATTACCTTAAGGACCTTAAACTCTGGGAATTATGGTATATTCTTTATCGTGGGTAATGCAGGATGTATATATCATCAACCGTAGGGGCCCATGGTTTAGGGCCTAAGCCCTAAACCCTAAGGCCCATGGTTTCAACCTTAGAATACCACGTCCTGCGCTTGAATTACCGTCTGGCGCCCGGGCGCGTCTAGCGACTGTAAAGAGGTGGCCCGCTGGTGTAACTCTTGGGGTTTAGGGTTTAGGACCTTACTTGGGGGATCATGGGACTTAATTAGTAAGTAGTTAAGGTTATAAGTCGCCCATTCGGGGTTATAAGTACTTATGAGTATAGTTACCTTCCTTATAACCCTAGTTACTAAGTATCATAATCCTATAAATAAACACTAAATAAACACTAAAACACCCTAAAGCACTAAACCCGAAACCCTGAAATCCTCAGGCCATAGGGCCTTAAACCCTGGCATCAACAAAATAGCCCAAAAGCCTCATATAATAAGGTCTTCGGGCCCAAAAGCCTTAAAATATGAGTCCTTGGAGGGTAAGGGTAAGGCCCTAAACCCTATAATCTACAAAACCCTTAACTCATGGGCCTCAGCCATTTACGGAAGGTGCACAACATACCCGAGAAGCCTACTTGATATAGGAGCCTAAATAATTACCCATACTATGTTGGGGAGTTCCTTATTATAGTTATACTATAATGTACTCCAACACCCTATTCTGATTATTCAGGCCCCTATATTTCTTATGTGGCAGCCGACTGCCCGCTGTGTAACCCAAGTATGGGAGCCGGCCGGGAAGTATACTCCAAAATACCGTACGGTTTAGGGATTAGGGTTTAGGGTTTAGGGTTTAGGGTTTGGGGGGCCTAGTGCCATAATGGCCGTGTACATGGGCCCTCTTGGTTCGGCTGTGAGAGTACTTATAGTCTCCATTCGCCATTATCCTTTGATATAAACTTGGCCAACAAGAAGGGGCTACAATGGAGATTATAGGCAAGACGCTACTCTGATCTCTTGAGTAAGGGAGGTTGCCTCGGCAACGAAGATGGTTTGTAGCTGGGGGCTGTTGATTGTTGCGAAGGGTCCATGTACTCATCTAGTACATACATGTATATTCTCAGGCCTGACGGAGTTCCTATAGAGCCAATTTACGGCCTAAGTGTATACTAAAAGGGTGCAGAGAGCCCGTTAGGGTGTGCAAGCATGGCGCAAGGCATCTGCAAAGGCTTCTTCGTGACTTCGTCGTTTTCGCAGGCGGAAAGGATGCATGTTAATGGAGGGGCCGAAGTTTGTTCCGTGCCGCAGCTTCATCTACGCCCACATCAGAGTTCAGGGTTTAGGGTATCGCTCTGGGCCAAGCATGCATGCTGCGCGTTGCGTTGCTGTCCGGGACAGAGTTGCCGAGCGTTGCTCTTGCGGAGGTGGACAATGTGAAGGCTTTGAAGCGGCGTCTGAACCAGTTGCACGGCCTGCCACCGCGGTTCAGACAGAGAGTGCTTCACGAGGGCAAGAATTTGGATGATGCCACCAAGCTGGATTCGCCGATGGATCTGCAGCTATTGCTTGTGGATTTGTGCGAGGCTTCCCGCCTTCAGGAGGGACAGCCGTAAACCCCTTCACCCTAACCCCTTAAACGCTAAAACCCCCATCTTCAGGACCCTAAACCCTAAACCCTAAACCCTAAACCCCCATCTTCAGGAGGGACAGCTTTTCACTGCAGCGCAGCAGGGCTACACGGCCGAGGTGCGAGGGTTTAGGGTTTAGGGTTTAGGGTTTAGGGTTTCTGGTCGGGCTCGGGTTTGCACTCTGTTCTGTGTGTAAAGAAGGGGCCTTAATAATTAGAATAGAGGATGGGGCCAGTCAAGCAAGTGCAACATCAGGGTTATCATGCTTTCCCCCGATCGCCAGACACCCTGAACCATAAATCCTAGACCCCCCTAACACGCCCTCAGGTTGAAGCGCTGCTGCAGATGCCCATGAACCCGGACGTCGTCCCCTCGATCGACGGCGATTCGCCTTCTGCCGGCGAGGAGCGAGCGATGCGGAGGTATGTTCGGACGATGTGTGCAAGTCTGGATTACACGCTTTTCGAGCCCGAATGGGGCGAATCCACAGCGCTGAATCGGGCAGCAAGAAGGAATCATCCAGAAGTCGTGGAGCTGCTCCTGGAAGCGGAGGCGAACGTGAACTTCGTTAGTCCGCATCCTGGTGCTCACGAGTATGCGTGTGTGCCCTTCTGTTTCGTGGGGGGGGGTGACTTTATTAGGGCTCCTTACTATAATTATAGTATAATGGGCCCCAAAATCCTCTTCTAATTATTAAGGCCCCTATAGTAGGGGTTTAGGGTTTAGGGCTGAAATAAGAGGAACCTAGTGAGATACTGGGAACCTAGGAGTGGATGGACGGCGCTGATGAGCGCGTCGAGACGCAGGGGTGCTCGAGTCGCGCAGTTGCTCCTAGAGGCAAGGGCTGACGTCAACTTAGCCGGTGAGCAGCAGGGTGGATGGACACCATTGATGCTGGCGGCAGAAAACGGTCGGGGTGAAGTCGTGCAATTGCTCCTAGAGGCAGGTGCCCACCTGAACTCAGCCAATGAATCTGGATCCACTGCATTGATGGAGGCGAGCAGAAACGGTCAGGCTGAAATCGTGCAAATGCTCCTAGAGGCAGGTGCTCAGACGAATCTGGAGGTCGGCGAGGGCTGAACAAGCCCGTGACATCGATGATCGTTGCCGACTGTTGCGGGAGGCCTGTACACTGACGAAAAGATATTCAGCTCAGGCGCAGGTCTTTTGATGAAAATGTGGCTGCTTCCGAACTTGAAAATTGCCGCTGGTCTCAAAAGCCCTCACCCTCCAAAGCCACCACTTACCACAGGCCTTAAACCCTCAACCGTAAACCCCGACACCCTCAACCCTAAACCGCTAAAACCTCAACCGTAAACCCCTAAACCCTACACCCCTAAGCCCTTAAACCCTGCAGCAAACGGTGACCTCGGCCCCGATCTGTCCGAAAAACCTACCTTGAGCACAACCCAAAAATACAGTTGATAGAATAAATCCTGAATTACCCATATAAAGGAATATACCATAACTCCCATAGTTTAGGGTCCTGGAGGTACTCAAGGGTTTACATCATCAACAGTAGTATGGGCCCTTATCATAGAGGCCTTAATTACTACCAATACTATTGTGAGGGCTCCTTATTACAAATCTAGTATGATATGCCCCAAAACCCTGTTCTCATTCCCTAAACCCTAAACCCTAAACCCTAAACCCTAAACCCTAGGATCCCTATAGTACCCTTTAAAGGAACCCCTAAACCCTCAATCTTAAGGCCTCTATAGTATGGGAATTGATGCAGGACTCAGGGCTTTCCTGGACCCGAACTCGCACTAAAGGAAACACCAAATGGACATACATACATGCTATGCATTAGGGTTTGGGGTTTAGGGTTTAGGGTTTAGGGTTTAGGGTTTAGGGTACATACATACATACATATATGTATATGTAGTATAAGGTATAGACTCTATATGGTTGACGATATAAATCCTGCAGTACCTGAAGGACCCTAAACTATGGGAATTGTTGTGCATTCCCTAGTATGGGTAATGCAGGATTTGTATCATCAACCGTATATTGCTGTTTAATATAGTGTAGGTGAAGATATTGGCATAAGCATGTGTTAGTATTTTCATATGCTCAGATATGTTCACATATTCATATGTTCCTGCATTCATGCCAGTTTTAACATGCAGTCATATGCTGTCAAGTGCAAGTATGCGCATCTAATCGGTTCACATACTGATGTGTTCTCACATGAATATATCAGTAAATCACCATACCAATGCTTCAACATATAACATATTATTGTTGCTATCCCAGAGACTCCAAAACCCCTTAATTAAGGAATATACCTTCAATCTTATGATGGTTCCTACTATAACTTAAGGTCTATTCCTTAGTTAAGGGTTTCTTGGAGTTTCTGGGATTTTGATTGTTCTTCTTCTAGCGGCAACTTAGATTCCAGGGTTTTTGTGAATTCAGATGCGTGGGAGCCTGTGTCCTCATGCCTACACTTCAAAACTTCAGGGTTTATTGCTCCTAAACTCTAAACCCCTAGACCCTAAACCCTAAACGCAAGGACTCCAGATAGGAAAGCGGCGGT